TCTTCAGCAGTATACAATTTTCATAGGAAAAGCTAGCGTACTCTACATCTGATTACGAAAAAGCAATACTTCTGCTCACCAATTTTCCAATCTGGGAGACTTCTTGTTCGTTCTTTTCCGCCGTACCTATTTTTCCTAACTGACGTCTTCGTCGAGTAAGAGGAGCTATTTTCTTGATTATTTCTATTGTTCATTATGTAAGCAGACGGAAAAAGCTTCTCGACTCTTTCTCTACTTTGTCTATTGTCTTTCTCCTAAGCATATATACTTGCTGTTTTCTTCAATAAAGAGATCAGATGTTCATTCATCTAAAATCTTATATAAACGTCTGGAAAAAACAGCTGCAGTCGATATTTCAATCATTTTGTTACCACAATAAAATCATTTTTAAAAATTAAGTATGTGTCAGGCAAAATTAGGACTTAGGCAAAATTAAACTTGCATTTTGAAAAATTAAATTTCTAAAATAAAATCGGAATTTATTCATTTGATAATACATAAAATGAACTGAAATTTGAAATTTCCTAACTTCATTTTAAAAGTATATAGCGAAATTGAAATGTAAAGTACGCTAAGTATTTCTATTACGATTATCATTCAATTTACGAAGATGTAGCGTTCGCTAAAACTTTCTATTAAAATCATCATTAAATTTAACGTGTAGAGTTCGGTAGCTATTTCTTAAATAATTATCATTATATTCAGGAAGATCTAGAGTACGCTAGCTATTTCTATATAAGATTGTATATTTTTGAAGAAGATGTAGAGTACGCTAGCTTTTCCTATGAAAATTGTATACTGCTGAAGAAGATGTAGAGTACGCTAGGTATTTCTTAAATAATTATCATTAATTTTAGGACCATGTAGAGTTCGCTAGCTATTTCTTAAATAATTATCATTATATTTAGGAAGATGTAGAGTACGCTAGCTTTCCCTATGAAATTTGTATACTGCTGAAGAAAATGTAGAGTACGCTAGGTATTTCTTAAATAATTATCATTAATTTTAGGAACATGTAGAGTTCGCTAGGTATTTCTTAAATAATTATCATTATATTTAGGAAGATGTAGAGTACGCTAGCTTTTCCTATGAAAATTTTATATTGCTGAAGAAGATGTAGAGTACGCTAGCTATTTCTATATAAGATTGTATATATTTGAAGAAGATGTAGAGTACGCTAGGTATTTCTTAAATAATTATCATTAATTTTAGGAAGATGTAGAGTTCGCTAGCTATTTCTTTAATAATTATCATTATATTTAGGAAGATGTAGAGTACGCTAGCTTTTCCTATGAAAATTGTATACTGCTGATGAAGATGTAGAGTACGCTACACTGAAAAAAAAAAAGGTACTCCACGAAACTCTTGAGGTTTCGTTGAATTTTACGAAACTTTTTAATCATCTGTAGAATTATGCGAAACCATAACAAAGTTTAGCGAAAATCAGGGTTCCGTAGTAAACTTTAAAAGGTTCCGAATCTTCAAAAGGTTTCGTCATCATCATTTTCGATTTCAGAACCCCGAAGGGGTTTCGTAATAAACTCTTTAGTGTTTCGTATTCAAGAAGGTTTCGCTATCTACGTAGTGAATCTAATATCTAAATGAAATCGAAAACGAGCGACCTCTCTTGACTGGACTAAATTCAACGACTACCGCCAACTTCCATATAATAGCCATACCGTTTTCTGTTTATATTAATTTTTTATACAGTACTGATGCACTTACTGTAAAATTCTCTTAACGTTTAATCATTGATCCTATCAAAGTTTAATTTTTAGCTTTCGTATTTATATCAATTCAGCAACACGAATTATTCATTTACATCAACAAATTTTTCATTTACATCAACAAATTTTTCTTGCAAGACTTCTACTATCATTCTTTTTTTTCACTATTAATTTATTTATTCGAAAATTTAGTTCAATTATATTTATTTGTGGTATTAAACTTTAATTGTTGGCTCATATTTACATCAATTCAACAACACAAGTTATTCCATTTATATCATTAAAAATTGCATGTATGACTTTTACTATTATTCTTTTTTTTTACTCTTAATTTATTTATTCGAAAATTTAGTTGAATTATATTGATTTTTGCTGTTAAACTTTGGTTGTTGGTTTTCATTTTTACATCAATTCAACAACACAAATTATTCCATTTATATCATAAAATATTCCATGTAAGACTTCTACTATTATTCTTTTTTTTTACTTTTAAATATATTTATTCAAAAATTTAGTTGAATTATATTCATTTCTGCTGTTAAACTTTTTGCTGTTGGTTCATGTTTACATCAATTCAACAACACCAATTATTCCATTTATATCATTAAATATCACATGTAAGACTTCTATTATTATTCTTTTTTTTTACTTTTAATTTATTTGTTGGAAAATTTAGTTCAATTATATTTATTTGTGGTATTAAGCTTAAATTGTTGGTTCATATTTACATCAATTCAACAACACAAATTATTCCATTTATATCATTGAATATCACATGTAAGACTTCTATTATTATTCTTTTTTTTTACTGTTAATTTATTTGTTGGAAAATTTAGTTCAATTATATTTATTTGTGGTATTAAGCTTAAATTGTTGGTTCATTTTTACATCAATTCAACAACACAAATTATTCCATTTATATCATTGAATATCACATGTAAGACTTCTATTATTATTCTTTTTTTTTTTACTTTTAATTTATTTGTTGGAAAATTTAGTTCAATTATATTTATTTGTGGTATTAAGCTTAAATTGTTGGTTCATATTCACATCAATTCAACAACACAAATTATTCCATTTATATCATTGAATATCACATGTAAGACTTCTATTATTATTCTTTTTTTTTACTTTTAATTTATTTATTGGAAAATTTAGTTCAATTATATTTATTTGTGGTATTCAACTTTAGTTGTTGGTTCAGATTTACATCAATTCAACAACACAAGTTATTCCATTTACATCATTAAATATTACATGTAAGACTTCTACTATTATTGTTTGTTTTTACTATTAATTGTTTTATTCGAAAATTTAGTTGAATTATATTCATTTCTGCTGTTAAACTTTTGGCTGTTGGTTGAAATTTACATCAATTCAACAATACAAATTATTCCATTTACATCATTAAATATTTCATGTAAGACCTCTGCTGTTTTATGTTATGTTGCTTTGACTTTTTAATTTGTTTCTGATTTAATTGTTGGGAAATGTAGCCTAAGTCTACACGTTCATCCTATTACAGTGTTTATTTTTTTTTTGTGTTTCTAGTGTTTCAACAGTACAAATTGCTGAATTTACGTCAATAATCGTTTCATGTGTAATTTATTGCTTTCTTTGCATGTTATTTTTTTTTATTCAATACCGATTTTGTTTTGATAGACTCAATTTAAGTACATTCATCGTATTGAACTTTGATCATCGTTTTTCGTATTGTTGTCTGTCATCAACACAACTTATTGTATTAACATCAACAATGTTTCATATAAGATTCTCATTAATTTCTTTTTTGCTACGTTTTTAGTACTTTTTTGTTTGTTGGAAAATTTAACTTTTGTGTACGATCTCACTATATCAAACTTTGTTTTGTATCGACAAATTCAATATTAATGGATCCAAGACACTGGAACTCTTCACAAGTAATCCAATGGTTGTCTTCTTTCAATAGAAATCAACATGTTCTTGATGTTTTTTGCAGTGAGTAATTGTTTTATGTCATCGAAAAATTGTTATCTGTGCCAGTTGTGCATTGAAAGGAAATCTTATTGCACATTCCGAAAATTATATCAGCACGTACAATATGCTCATAATGGAGAGCCTAACTTTAGAATTCGATGTGAGCTAGGTCCATTATGTGGAACAATTTACTCCACGTTTGCTGCTTATAAAAGTCATATCTACAGGGAACATGCAGATCTTCTTAATGACAACTCATCTAAGGAAGAAATACAAGTTGACAAAAATGCTGATAATGATGAAGCATTCGTTTTAACATACAATGATATGCAGTTGGATTTTGATATTGACATAGATGATATGGAAGATGAGCAAGATAATAGAGAAGAAATTCCTGCTGAAGATGTAATTTGTTGGCCAACACTTAAAGAGAAAATACCTTCATTATTAAACAACAATACGGATTTAGATTCGTTCGAAAAATTTTATTTACAGTTCCTTCTTGATCTGAGAGAAGGTCATTCTCTACCACAAAATATTGTTCAAGCTGTTACATCAGGAGTAAAATCGTTGATTGAATTCATCTTCGAGTTATTAAAAGGGCAAGTTAAAAGCTCATCGATTAAGGATCAAAGGACGGCTTGTTCTTACCCAACAACCAATTTTATTTTATTATCTGACGTAAAAAATATTGTTTCAAGTGTTATAGAAAGAATGAACAATATTACCAAAAATGAACATAGATTTGTGAGGTTATGTAAAAAATATTTTTCCTATGATTCACCCAAAGAAATAAAACTGGAAAATCCTAACGAAGTAGCATATTATATACCAATGCAATCTACTATTAAACAAATGCTCAGTAATCCTTATGTATTGGATATTTTAATCAAGAATTTTAATCAAATTATTAATCGTAATGCTTGTGATCATAATCTTATGTATGACTATCGTCATGCATCACAAGCAAAACAACATCCAGTTTTAACGAATAAACCTGATTCATTATTATTTCACATTTACATTGATGAGATTGGCTTGACCAATCCTATAGGAGCAAAAAAAGACACTCAAAAAATAACTATGCTATATTTTCAACTAAATGATTTACCTGATATTGTTAGATCAAAGTTAAAATCAATTGGACTTTTAGCTATGTGCCATTCCAGTTATTTGTCAAATACGTCCAATAGAATAAAGTTCTTTCAGCCGATCGTTGAAGATCTGAATACACTTCAGACGACTGGACTCTATATTCCAGGTTTTGGTACTCAGTTGAATTTTGCATTCACTATCGTAGCTGGTGATCATTTGGGTTTGAATGACATTGGTGGATTTCAAAAAAACTTCAGTAATGGACAGTTTTGTAGACATTGTCATATAAACTATGATCAGAGATTGATTCCTTTAAGTCAAGTTTCTTATTCTGATCGAACAAGAGATCATCATGATAGTCTAGTTCAACAAGTTATAAATTCGAATAATCATGTTATTTTACAAGGTGTTGTTGATATAAGTCCATTTTCAAACTTGATCGGTTTCCATGCTACAACATCGTTGCCAAATGATCTGATGCACGATTTTAATGAGGGTATAAAGAAAAGAGAGAATATCTTGAGAAAAGTTTTTTTTCTTTTTTTAGGTCTTTGTAGTCAAATATTATTAGCGATGATAAAGGAAGCTTCAACCAAACGCATTCTTTCTTATGGAGAAGTTGAAGATAGATTGATGTCATTTGAGTATGGTCTTAATGATAAGTCAAACAAACCACCAGTTTTATTAAAGAAACATCTAAACAAAGGAAAGATTGTAGGTACAGCATCTCAGAAGATGTGCCTATTCAAGCTATTTCCCATTGTATTTCACGATATAATCGATCAACTAGATACCAAAGAGATTTACATCTGCTTACGTGAAATTATAAGTCACGTGTATGCTTCTCCTTTTCGAAAATCATGGTTGCCATATTTACATCATTTAACTGTTCGTTTTCAAAGTTTAATGGTTCATTTACTTCCTAATTTTATAATATCAAAAGTTCATTTTATCACGCACTATGCAAAGCAAGTCGAAATGTACGGTCCACCTATTCGATATTGGTGTATGCGTTTTGAATCCAAGCATCAAATCTTCAAACAACTTGCTGTTAAGTCCAACAATTTCAAAAACATCTTGTATACACTATCGAAACGTCATCAACTTCGGCAGTGTCTATTATTATCATTGTCAGATTATTACAAGATAATGAACGAAGGTTATTCGTCTGCAGAAACAAATTTATATGCATTACCAGCTGATGTTCGTCGATTACTATATGAAAATATTAGATGCTTTGATGATAGAACCACAATCGTAGAATATAAAAGATTAAAATTCAATAATATTATTCTTATTAAAGGATCAGTGTTTGTGGACAATTTGGTACACGAAGAGGAAATACCTTCGTTTGTTCATTTGATTTTAATCTTAAAGATTGATAATAATTGGTTTTTGATCGTTGAAAAATTACAAACAATTGCTTTCAATGAATCATTATGGTCATATGAACTTCAACATACGCACTTATTGTCAATAAAACAATTTAATGAACTTATTCATATATTACCACAGGGACTTGATGTTTATGAGTTAAACAAAAAATCTTATGTTAACATTTTGTCACGTCTTACTATAGAAAAAAAGTAGTTTAAATAAAGTAAATTAGGTCCTTCTTATACTAAGTCATTTACCAAACATAAGTATTTCATTCACTCTATAATCGCACTAATGCAAGGATAGAAATTCTTTTATATCATCCAAATTTTTAATTGAACACATTTTGCTTTTTTTAGGAGAAGATATCGATGGTGAAACACTTTTCAATTTACCAGAATCAATAATGTATGAAATAATAAAACCAATTAAAGAACGTGTACGATTTTTGACGGAACATCGTGCTCTTTTTGAAAACAAGTTTCACGACACTTGTGATGAAATAACATTGAAGAAATATGTTGATGATCAACCTGTCAATAGCTCTCAACAAGTGATTGAACAAGATGGTGTAAATCAATTCATGTCAATGTCAACGACTGCGTTTTCCAATAATGATCGAAGTAATCCTTCTACACTTGATTCTTCAACTGATTCTGAAGTTATGAATCAAGAAGCAATAATGTCACCACACGAAGATAATGACAACGAAAACTATGAAGATGAAGAACAACCACGTTTTCCTGTTACTTATCATATATCTGATTTACCACCAAAGCTTCAACAACTTATAGACAAAGGTAATATAAATTGTTTTCGTAGTCATACAAACGCACGTCGATTATTACTTGATGCCGTATTCACGAATGTTACGACGAAATATTCTCTAATGTGAGTACTCACGATACTTTATGTAACAAGATCGTAATATTTTAATTTTATTTTAGGTATCCTGATACGCACGAATACAGATCAATGGGTAGAGCAATACTAGAAAAATTAAATATCAAGAATGATATTAATGTCTTGGTAAGTAAGCTATATCACGCTAACTACAAATGAGAATTATATCGTTGAGAGATCCACTGATGGAGCACAAAACTTTATTTACTTCTTTTCATGAGCTGTGATCAAATACTAAATCAGAGCTATCAATTTCTATAGCTTCATGTGGCTGATATATTTGATTGACATTCCGTTCTTAGGGCATAGTTTCAATTAATGAAAGAAAAACTCAAAATTCTTTGGAATCTGCAGAGTTTGTTATAAATTTTTACAATTGGATTCTAAAAATAAAATCTACGAAATTTTTTCCTCCATGCCTCATCGACATAAAAATGCAGTTTTTTTTTAGAACGATTGGGTTGAGAGCCTTAAGAGTAAATTCAAACGTGAACGTCGTCCACTTCAACAAATGTCTGAAGAAATTCTGAAGATGAAACTAAAATTTGGTAATCGAGCAGGTCGTCCAGTCAAACAAAGTAACAATGTAATCGCAGCTCGTCGTGAAGTATGTTTTAATAAAAAAAAATAAAAGGAATGTAAAATTGTACAATAGAATTGATTCTTTTATTTTTTTTTTAGGTTCATGTGGAATTTTGGAATAAAACGGATGCTAATGATGATCCTCAAGAATTTGATGAACATATTCAATTTATGAAGAACGAATTGACAAAAGAAAACTTCAATTTTGATGGTGTGAAAAATTCGTGGAAAAAAACATTGGTCAACAGAAGATTGTATATTCAAAATCATACGACTATAGAAGTTCTTCAAGAATATCCTGGTTATAGTAATGTTTTTTTGGTAAGTATGATATTATGATTTATTCAGATTTCAACTCTTTACTCAATGGCAGGTTATTTTTAACCTGCTTGTAGAACGATCTTAAAAAAATGAAAGAAAAGTGAGATATAACAACTTCCAAGAAATTTTTTGTAGAAAAATTCATAAGCTATCAATTGGTAAAATAAATATATTGTTTCACTGCTCTGTTGTTGAGATATAGAACTTACAAAATAAATAGCGTTCAAAAATTAAAAACAATCGAAATTTAAAGAACAAAGTGTTTCTGATTCATAGACAGCACAGATTTCGAAGTTGCCTTGTGTAATCTATATCAACTAGAATGTCTAATAATCAATTAAATGTGTTTCAAAAAATTCCTAATCGTTTCTCACTTTCAGGAATGATAGATTAATCAACATGTTATTCCTATTCCATATCTACAACGATTCATTTATTTACAACACGTTTCTTTTTAAGATCTTCGACGAGATTCAATATTTATGCAATGTCGATATTGAAGCAAATTTCAGATATATGATACCAAAATTACTTACTAATATTCCTGATAGCTCAGGTTTTGTTGATGGTAAGTAATTGACGAAGGTACTCAAAGTTTATTTATTCATTTCGTATCGTTTGATATTTGTTTAGACCTTTCGACCATACGTTTAATCAAACTTTTATCCAGATACTTTACTGATTCATGGCAACATATCTTGACTTACAAAGTAAGCTTAAATTTTCCAGAAAATATTAACTGCTGAACAATAGCTAGATAATTGAATCAAGTTATAATTATTTAAATACAAATATTCAGTAATTTTTTTTTGTATAATTAAGGATCCATTATCTCCTCGTCCAACAATACAAGTGACAACAGATAAATTTTTGATATATTTGGATTATAATGTTGTTACTGAAACACCATCAATCGATCAAGCTTTATGTATCGTTATCTCGTTATATTTTATATTTGAATTACAATTTGGTAGTCACAATCGAACTATAAATTTATTATATGGTATATTATTACAAGAACCAGCAATATTAACAAAACAATTACGGTTTACATTGAAACAATGGAACTTCCAAATTGATAAAAAAGAACATAGAAAAAATACGCAACTGGTTAATTATTTATCTACAAACAATAACACATCTGTACATTTGATCAAGAATTTACAACACTTCGAAGAAAGTGAACGTGATTGTGTATCTAATGAAGAACCACACGAACATTTAATTGAAAAAACAGATAGATTAAACCCATTGATTGAAGCAAAAAAACAATCGTTCAAATATGGATTTGATGATGATCTTGAAAATTCCACGACGACAATCACCATTGATGTTAATAAAGATCGTAAAAACAATTATTCGGCAACGAGCTCTCAATCGTTTACATCATCGACCCCAACAATTGATTCTCAATTACTGATGCAATCATCAAAATTAAAACAACGAAATATTGAAACATCAACTTCAGTCGTTTCGAAGGAAAGCAGCTTATATTCAGTCAAAATCCAACATGAAATGGTAAAAACTCCAAACGAAATACCACGAACAGAACTACCTATTCATATTGCTCAAACAAAAAAACGACTACGTCATCTGGAAGAGCCAGCACCGTCTCGTTCAAAGCGCACAAAGAAAAACAAATAAAAAACTTTTTCTTTCTAATTTTTTCTACATCATCTCCTGGACTACTGAATCGATTATACTTGCTTAATATTTACAAAACTCCACTAGAAGCTGTTGTACTGAAACATCTTCTATTATCTTTCATTTCATAAACTTTTTTTGTTTATCCGCAAATTCATAAATCATCTTTATTTCATATGGACTAAGGTCAGATTACTTCAATAAAATATTCCGCCATATTCTAATTACATTCCGATAAGAAAAAGCTACAGTACATAAAGATAGTACCTCATTCTGTGAATATCTTAAAACGTTCAGGTTCTCCATCATTTAAATTTTCTCATTCCGTCACTCAACATATGCTAACTTTGGTAAGTTACCAACCTACATAGACAAAACCAATTTTTTTTCTTTTTCCGTTTAGGTTCTTCAACAAATTTTGCAAGAAATTATTCACAACTGCAATTCAATTCTTCACTTACTTTAACTTAAAATACTCGCAATAAATTCCAATATTCATACCATACAAATTAATGCCAATAACTCATTTCTCTCATACCTACAATTCCGAAATGACGTGCTACACTTACGCAAGTATTAGCAATAAATGATACTTAATTTCGTCTTTTGCATTTGTAAAACGACTTTAATTATTCGTAAATCAATCTTCAAAAATATAGCATTTTTTTTCTCTCTTTGGATCGTCCAAACAATTCTCCTTTTCGTAATGTGGAACCTGAATCGATCGATTCGCTTTTCTCCTACTTACATTCTCAGCAAATAAAACTCATGAAAGTGAGTACTAATTGAAAATCAATAATTCTTTATTTTCTCTTTCAGGTTACGGAGGAAAATCTAATATTGGTAAGTTACTCTTTCTAATAAACATAATACATTAATTTCTCTATTTAGATGCTTCCCACGATTTCAATATCAGTAAGTGACAGTTTTTTTATACAGAATCCTCATCATTTTTGTTTAGATTGCTCAAATTGAATATCGTGAAGATACGTAATAGGTGAAATTAGATAACAGTTTTTTTTTTCTCTTTTAGATATCGAAGACCAATCTACTGTTGGTAAGTTACTATTTGGAATAGATATACTACATTTATTTCTATGTCTAGCTACCTCCTACAGTTCCAACTTTGGTAAGTGACACTTTTTTTACATACAAGTCTCATTACTTTCGTTTAGATTCTTCAAATTAATTATGTCGAAGGTAGTTAACAGTACAATTTACTAATACTTTTTTTTTTCTCTTTCAGACGTCGAAGAACAATCTACTGTGGGTACGTTATTACTTCGAATAAATATACATTGAATTGATTTCCCTGTTTAGATGCTTGGAACCATGGGATTGTTAGTAAGTGAAATCTTTTGAATAAAGAATCCTCATGATTTTTGTTTAGATTCTTCGTATCGATCATGTAGAAAGTATGTAATAGCTAAAGTTAAATTATGTTCTTTTTTCTGTTTCAGATTTCGAAGAACAATCTAGTGCTTGAAAGTCAGTATTCCAAAGAAATATATTATATTTCTTTTTTTTAAGATACTTCCAAACAATTGTATTATTAATAAGCAACATTTATTTATAAACAAATTTGATTCTTTTTGTTTAGATTGTTGAACATACTTATGGTGAAGATAAGTAAGAGGTAAAATTTAATAAAAGTTTTTTTTTCTCTTTCAGATTTCGATGAACAAGTTACTGTTGGTAAGTTACTTTTTCGAATAAATATGTTGCATTTATTTCTACATTTAGATGGTTTGAACCATTGGATTATAACTAAGTGACAGTTTCTTCTTATGTACAATTCTGATTAGTTTTCTTTAGATTGTTCAAGTTAATAAATGGGGAAGGTATGTAATACTTAAAGTTAAATAATACTTTTTTTTTATCTTTCAGATTTCAAAGAACAAACTACTGATGGTAAGTTACTACTTCGAATAAATATGTTGTCTTTATTTCTATGTTTAGATGGTTCGAACAGTTGCATTATAAGTAAGTGATATTTTTTTAATAACAATTCTTGTTAGTTTTGTTTAGATTGTTCCAGTTAATCATGTCGAAGGTGTGTAATACGTAAAGCTAAATAGTATTTTTTTTCTCTTTCAGATTTCAAAGAACAATCTACTGGTGGTAAGTTACTACTTCGAATAAATGTGTTGTTTTTATTTCTGTGTTTAGATGGTTCGAACAATGCGATCATTAGGAATTGATAATTTGTTTTTATAACAATTCTGATTAGTTTTGTTTAAATTGTTCCAAGTAAGTATGGTGTAAGTAGGCGCGAATTGAAAAGAGTGTATTTTGTTTGATTTCTTTTTGCGTCTTGGATTTCTTGAAAGAATTGGTGTATTGGGAAGTTACTATCAGGAATAGTAATGGTTTTGATCTGGACTTCGATGGTTGGAATGATCCTGAATTGTATTATCATGGTATGGTGCTTGAATGTTTGAGAATAATAACATTGGTATGGGGTTGTGAGTAGTGCTGCGTGTATTGATCAGAATGCGGAGGAGGTACCTGATGTTATGATGCAGTGGAAGGCTGTTTCTTACGAAACCTAACTATCTACGAAACTCCAAAGGGTTTCGATTTCGTTGCAAAAATCGAAACCTTTTAGAGTTCGGTAGAGTACCTTTTTTTTTCAGTGTATGAATGAAGATTTAGTTGATCATAAACTAAAAACGTTCAATCTATCATCATCCATTTGTTTTTCTTGAGTAAAATTTATTTTACAGACTAGTTCTTTTTATTACAGATAAAGGTTATATAAACAAATATTTACAAATAACAGATAAAGATCATTAGCAAGATTTAATAGAATAAAGAAATAATTCTATATAATACCAATTCAAATCATGAAAGTTATACAAAAAAAAAGAAAGGAACGGAATGTCTTTATAGACTTAATTAACAATAACTGATGAACACATCAAATCGACTTGACATGTTCCATCACTACGATATAAACGATAATAATCCTATAAATAAAAATGATTTATTTAAATAATAATTTTTTCTTTAATTATACCTTTTTATTCCAATGTGGAGCCCAACTATTTTTTATAATCCAGTATAGAATTGATTTTCAATCTTAATTCACATATAACAACATATTTTGAAATAAAAAACAAAAGGTAATCTGATGTTTTTGTTCCATACCATAAATAACAGCTAAAACTTCATGATTAAGTCGTTCTCGATCACAGAAAATACAATGAGGATGAGCAACATCATGGAAATAAAACTCTTATTAAAAAAAAAATTTTACAAACAATAATCGATAACCTACTTACATCATATTTATATTCAATTCAATTGAAATTGGTGCATTGATTACAAACCATTCAGTCATTTCTTAATAAAAAAAAGAACAAAATTAATTATCTCATTAAAATAAATTATTCTTTTATACCATTTTTATCCTATGTTATATATTAATATCCATCATTATTAACATTAAGTTTTGTTTTATTTAATTGGCATTGACTATGTTGTTTTTCTTCATATTTATAATCCTGTTCACTTTTAACTCTATTCATTTTAATTATTCGTTCATAATCAACAGTGATAAATTCTCTATTACATCCTTCATCAACTTTATTACAATCAAATAATTCTATTTAAATCAAATAAATTTTAATTAGAAAGAAAGCAAAGAATATTTTTCTTGACCTTGTTCAAATAATAAAATTAAACTTCCTTTTTTTTTAACTTTGCAAACACCTTCAATATTTCCAGTTACACTAAATGCTCAACAACAACAATCATATTGATCCTTTATTTAAAAATAATAAATTAAAACAATCATTT